GGAGGGAAGGTTTAAGTTGGACATCAGGAGGCGCTACTTCACGGTCAGGGCGGCTAGGGTCTGGAACCAGCTTCCAAGTGAGGTGGTGCAGGCTCCCACCCTGGGGGTTTTTAAGAGGAGGTTGGATGACCACCTTACTGGGGTCGTTTGACCCCAGTACTCTTTCCTGCCGTGGCAGGGGGTCGGACTAGATGATCTGCTCAGGTCCCTTCCGACCCTAGAAACTATGAAACTATGAAACTCCGGCTAGGTGATTATCTAGCCTCCTTTTGAAGACCCCCAGGGTAGGAGCGAGCACCACTTCCCTTTGAAGTTGGTTCCAGATTCTAGCCACCCTGACTGTGAAGTAGTGCCTCCTGGTGTCTAGCCTGAACCTACTCTCATTCAACTTATGGCTGTTATTCCTACTTACTCCTGGTAGTGCTCGGAGGAACAGGGTCTCTCCTGTTCCCTGCTGGTCCCCCTCAGGAAGCTATAAATTGATACTTGGATCATCTTTTAAAATGATATCTAACATAGGAAGTGTAGGTTTTGGAAAAATTCTTTGTATAATGTTAAATTCTTTTAAGGGAGAGTCAAATCACTTGTGACGAATTCAGTGAAGTGGAAAACTTGAGAATTTAAGGATGCCAATTAACAGTATGAATAGTCGTATGACACTGAGTATTATTTGGTCAGTTAAAGGCTCAGTAATGTATTGAACATAATTTTGATTAAGTAGTAAAATCCTGTAGATTATTCTTTGCAATTGGCATCAAAAGGCCCTGGCAGATGTTACATTTATCACACTAAGTTAGCCATGTGGCATATAGCTGTAGAGGGATATGCCACCCATTTTATATTTGTGTACATCATCTTTTAATATATTTTGCAAATATTTCATAGTGTAATAGGCATAACATTTCAATATTGAATAAAGAATGAAGTGTTCATCCACTGTGTTTAAAGCAAAGAAAGATTTTTTTTTTAAGGATAAACTTATTTAGCTAGTTTTAGTTTCCCTTCAGGGAAATTGCTATATTATTCACAGGAAATATGGGTGTTACCGTAGTAAGTTAAGGATATCCTGCTTTAAAACAAAAAATTGTCTTGTCCTCTTCCTAATTTTTATCTGTCAGTGTTTGGCTGATTGGTATATTCTTTGGTCACAACTTTTCAAATTAATATTTTTAAAACACCACCAGTAACAGTAAAACTATTATTTCCTATTGCATGCATTCATATTACATTACAGGAAGATGCATTCATGTATTTGAACCTATCTGTGATTAAGACAGAGGATTGAAATTGTCATTTATATTTTGACAGAAAATATTTGACATTTTCTCTGTATCTTGCTTAGTTAACCATTGCTAGAGTACTACCATTTAAAAGAAAAAGGAAGGCAAAAATTAAAAATAAGGACCAACCTTTGAATCTTATCAGCTTTTGTGTTTTGAAACTTTTTTATTGTCCATTGTTTGGATGTCGTCATATAAATATTTTTAGAAACTTGGAAAAAAAACCCCTTTCATATGTGATTTTACCATGTGTGAGAAAGTAGTTGCATTTGACACACAGCATTGCCTGCCTTTTTCTTGATAGTGTTATCTGTTATCAGTGTCAGTACGTACAAACGGTTCTAAGAATATTTTGGCAAGAGTGACTTATAACATTTTATTAAGCTGTTTATATTTCTTAAGAAACACTTTGTTTTTACTTAAAGATTTTAGAAAATAGCTCTTTCACCAGCTACGAGTTTTAACTTTGTCGGAATCAAAATTAACTGGTGCTTTTATTTTTTCACTGGAGGAAAAGCCTAAATAAATCTGACTTTGAAATTGGTATGGTATTTGGTAGACTACCTTACTACTTTTATTCATAACAAAATATTTGAATTTGGTCATAACATTATTATCAATTATGACATATTCAACTTGCTTTGTGTTTTAATTTAAGGAGTCCATGGTCTTTAATTTCAGTTTCAGTTTAACTTGAGTTTAAATGGTCAATGAGAAAATTATTTCATAATACTTCATAAGTTTCCTCTGCTGGAATTTGTTTATGTTCCTGTTTTTGTTGACAGTATTGTCCATGAAGGAGACGGCTATTAGATTATAATATGGAAAAGTGGCATAATTATAGTAGACCAAAATTATTTTCATAATTGAGCGTTTTCCCAGTGGCAGTATTTTATGCAAGTAGTGTACAAATCTGACTTTGAAAATTCTTCAGACAGGATGCATGTCTCACCTTTTTTTTTTTTGAAAACGTAAAATCATATGTAATAATGCTTACTGCCTGACTTGCACGCTGTATTTTTTAAATGATCTGAATGAGCCTAATTCCAAAAGTCCATTTAAGTCTTCCAATGTTTTTTCCGTGGATTTGTGTGGGTCTGGGTGAGGCCCATGTGCTGAGTCAATTGCAAGTAAAAGAAAACAGCAAACTGCAAGATCATGCTGTATTTCGTTCAGTCATTACAATTCAAAGAATTATCTAGTGTTTAAAATGTTCAACATATCCAACTTTTTAGAATTAAGTAACTGGATATAGTAATACACTTACATTTGGCTAAATCCATATTAAAGATAACCTTCGCATCTCCAGAAATTTTATGTTATGTTAATGTTCGTTAGCTGTTAAAAGTCAGTTTGTTAAAAACAGTTAGTTTTAAATTCTGCTTTTAAATGGCTGAATGTGCACTCTCACTTTGGAATATTATGCTTTAGTCACAGCTGACACTTTCATATCTCATTTCAAAAGTTACATAAGATTAATTAAAAATTAGGAAAGCCTCTAGGCTTTGTTGTAACTTTGAGAAGTGAAATGCATCCACGCTATCAGTGCAGACAAAAGAAATATTTTGACTTTCTTTTTGTCAGCTTTTTAGCTGATTTAAGTGATAACTGATATCCAGTGTGATATGAAAGTTTGAATTATGAAATCCATTTTAATTTTTAAAAGATGCATTTTGAGGCTAGAAAGCTTTTTCATGGACTTTTGGTGCTCTGCTCATAAGAACTTTTTCATGCTTATTTACATGCATTGTTCATCTGTTAGCTTTTTCTTTTTCATGATTAATTTTAATCTCAACATTTTTATCTAATTTAACATTTTCATATTTTTAAAGGTCCCCAGGTGCATCCAATTTTTCAACTTTACCAAAGATCCCTCCATCTCTATCAAATAATTATAACAACATCAACAGAAAGTAAGCAATGTATCTTAAGAACTCTTTATTTGAATCACCCAAATATGAGAAATGACCTTGTTTTGTAGTTTGTAGTTAGGTTGCTTTAGATTTGTTTTGGTACTTGGATTGCAGTTCTTTTTAAGGTTCAGTATTTCGTAGTGCAGTACCCTGTTGTGTTTGAGTAAGACAAAATTCAGAAGCGAAAGCTAGTTAAAGGTGTTTGACTGTATGTGCTACTCAGTTTATTAGAGACTAGAACACTTTCTGACAGTACTCAGTGTTTTTTAAAGACTTTGCTTAGAGTTTATCATGTTAAATATATAAAAATGCTGTAAACAATATTATATACTGTCCCACTTTACTGAATTGTCTCTGTAAGTATTTCCAAATTAAGATGATAGATCCTTTTCTAGTCCCTCAATATTTTAAGGCAGGGATTGTCAACTGGAGGCACGTGGACCAGTCCTAGGGAGTGCGCATGGGCGGGCAGGGACAGAGCACCGCCACCTCCCAGGAGTAGGGCTGGGGTGGGGGGGAGGACAGTGGCGCCCCCTGCAGGGCGGGGAAGCTTGCACATGGTGGCGGCCATCACCACACACCAGCCCAGTGAACTTCCCCACCCCACACAGAGGTGCCTCTACTTCACTCCATCCTGGTGAACTGCCCTGTCCTGCCCCTGGGGAGGCAGCGCCACTCTATCCCCGCCTGCCCGTGCGCCGTCCCTGCCTCCCTGCTGTGTGTCCAGCCGCATGCTACCCCCCACCAGAGTTCGACCATGCACTACCTTTACCCTTCCCCCTCCCCACTTGGCATCCAGCTGCCAGGGGTACTTAGACTAAAAAAGATGGAAAACCACTGCTTTAAGGTATCACAACAGTATACAATACCATACGTTTAAAGATGAGGCTGTAATGTCCAAATGAGACTGAATTATTATATGTGGTCTAATGCGTCTCTCATAGTCTCTGAAATGTGAGCTCAGTTTGACATGGAGTATTGTGTTTAGGTATGTATTGCAGCAAGTAGAGGGTTGAATGAAAGACAAACCTTTAAGAAAGTAAAAACTTATTTCCTTTCTTTTACTTTGCATATTTGAACTTGGACAAATTATTTGGTAACTGGTATATTTAATATGATAAGACTCTAAAAGAAGAACTTTAACTGTCAAGTGGCCACCTTAGTCTCTGATGACTTCACTTCATATTATGTACAGATAATAGAAAAAAACTAACAGTAAGTGCTGAAATAGTTTCAGTTTTTCTGCAACCTAACCTGTGGTGAACCAGCTTTCAGATGCCTGTAGTCAGACCATACCAGTGTTCAAGGCAAACTGGGGGAAATGAAGAGGCTTTTTAAACTTTCCATCCAGACTTCATTTAAAATACTATTCCAAACTTGTGCGCTATGACTCAAAGATGTTGACTTTAACTACTTAAAAAGGAAATATAAATATTAAATATTTTATAAATATCTTCCAGTTAAATATTGCATTTATCCGAAGTGATTTTTCATAAGGGGTGAAGTGTCAATGGTGCTTCTACCAATTGTGAGTAGCCCCAACTCTCACTGTTAAACAGTTCAAATCCATGTATTTAACTGCAGTCTACCATACTGTGTATGTGAATGTGTAATAGTTAGGGGAAAAAAATCGTATTTTATGGGTATGTGTTGACCACATAACTGGAGCTAAGCCTCTAGTAGTGGAAAGCTAATAATCCCTTTCCTGTTGTTTAAAGTAATTTGTAATATCAAAAGCCACACAGGCAGAGTCATTGTTTCTTATGAAAATACTTTTTTAAAACAAACACTGAAAATATTTTGTGCAACTTCACCATGGAGACACTGTAGTAATATTTTAGAAAGTACTTATAGAACCAATTTGCAGTGTTTACAATTTTCAAAAAATACATTTTTAGATGGATATTTTTTAATTTTTTGCAAAGCCAAACATTAGAATTTTGGAAGTTGAGGTTAAATTCCATCAGCTACATGAGTTTTTGAGGTTGAGGACTTCCACACAGAAAACAGAAGTTTTAAGCAACTCTGTAATGCTTTAGCTCAAGATTTTAGACATACTGGGAATTTAGTAGTCATGAAGAGTATCCTAGATTTATTTTTAAAATTGGCCTTGGAGATTCAAGAGTTAAACATTTGAAAAATACATTTGGGTAATCTATTTTAGTAGTACTGTCTACTGAAATAAAAGCTGCTGCTTAAACTATAAAGCTTTAATATAACCACATTTATTTACTAAGCCATAGAAGTACATTTATGGCGCACCATATAGTATAGGTACATGCAGATATTTATGTGCAATTCACTGGTTTTCTTTAAAATCAAGCAATAAATAGCTTAATTCAGTGTTTAAAATTTTAATTAATGTTTTATTTTTGAAAAAATTAAATATAAAATATGTTTAAGAAGCATTAATTACAGGGAGAAACTATATCTGTTACTATCTTGATATTCATAACATTGAATATTCAGTTATAACAGTACATTGAGAATTTTTAGCTTCACGTGCAAATCTCAGCATTTTTCTATATTGTTTAAAATTTTATCAGTGAGATTAAATCACTTCCTTCCCATTTTCTTCCCCTCTCCCTGCCCCACATCATCCTGTCTGAAGAAACTTTCCTTCTTTATATTCTTATACTAATAGTGCCTTCTCTACTTTACTCAGTTATGTGTTCAGTGTCAGTTCTGTCTCCATTAGTGCCATCTAGAGCATTTCAGTTTTTCTGCCTATATTTGTAGCAGCTGGCTTGAAGCAAATGCTCTTTTTGGTCTCATGTACTGAAGTCAGAACCTTTGGAATAGTTACAATTGTATACTTAAGAATTATGGGGTGCTTTTGCACTTCTGAGGATATCTTTTGTTTTAAAGATGGTGGTAATGGCAGCAGTGGGTGATTAGTAACAAAAAGATCATAAAGTAAAAAAAAAAATAG